TTACATGAAGCAAAGCACAGATGTGATTGTTCTGCTGGGAAATAATTATGACTTAACGATCTTCACCTTTAGAAAAATGCTTCTAGCCCATGCTCATCTTAAGAAACAGGCTCAATTAGACAAACCCGACCTCGATTTGAGCTTCCTGCAATCTGTTCTTTTTCTCGAATCCAAGCCAGCTCGTCATCAATATCGCGGAAAAGTTGATTGCCACGAAGGGACTCCGCCAACTTCTCCTTTCGCCGATTCAGTGGATCACGTAATGCGTTATATCTGCACAAAAATGATAATCAGTAAATGTGAAGGGTACGGATATATGCTTTTTTTTGGCTAGGACAGTATTTGTGAATATGTAGCTGCTTAATCTTAAAATGCATCGCTAGCATCAGATTGCATCCTGCCTTGGTTATAATACCAAATCAAAAAAATATTACTAAACGTGGACTTCTTCAGCGGACTTGATTTGCTACTAGTCAAGCGCTCGAATTGATTTTGCAAAATTTCTTCTCCTGCGAAAGCTCCCCAGTGATTTTCGACATATAATTCAAATCAATACAGAAAGGAAAAATCCGCAAAGACAGAAAAATAATCAGTACTTTTATAACAAAAAAAAAAAGACCTGCAAAGACCAATCACACATAAAATTGGAAAAAATCTATTTTGAACGGCTAGAAAATGGGATACCCAAAGGCAAAACTAATTATACACAATAAAGATGATGGGAAATAAAACCGATGTGCAAAATCACAAACGAAAAAAATGGCTCTGTCCCTACGTTCCCTAAAATAGCTCCGTTTCTATGTAAGCTGTCCCTATCGTCCCCAAAAAAAGCCAAAAACGCAAAGAAAAATTCTATCCTTCGAAGTTTTGGAAAAAAATAAAACAAATACCAAATGTATGTTTTTTCCATGAACAAAATTAGTATAATCATAAAAGGAAAAGTGTGAATAAACGAGGAATAAACAAAAGCAAGAAGAAACCTGCTCTTCAGAGCCTCCTCCTTACGCAAAATCATTGGAGCATCGAAATGACCACCATCCGAGAAAGCTTTTGCTTGCTGTCCGATCACATCAACACGATCCTGATGCGCATGATAATCGCTTTCCAGAAGTCCCTGCTTTTTTTGCAGATTTTGCACAGAAATCAAATCTTTGCCATAATCTTCAGATGCAAGCTGGCCTTCCAGCTCACTGAGCCAAAGCTCGATATCTTCGACATTCCTGGAAAACATTAATAGACCGAAACATTCCAATTCAGTTTTTATTTTTTATTTTTCACTTTGATACAAACTCTTTCACAATCACAAAATATCTATTTAAATTT